ATGGACTGTTATTAATTTAGAATAGCTGTTGTTTATACACTTGTTTATTAGACTTGTACTTTTAATTATCAACATCAAGTATTCAATTAGTTTTTGACAATAACTCATTTGAAATTAACAACTGTCCATTTTAGTTTTAAAAAGCTAGAAAAATAAATAAGATTGGCATAATTGAATGTATTAATCTTTCATCAACAAGTATCCACTTAAGCTATAACAACTCTTTATTTTAAATTAACAACAGTTTATTTGAGTTTTAATAAGTTAAAAATGAATAAAATGAGCTTAATTATACAGGTATTAATCTTTTATCAATAAGTATACGTTTAGATGCTCATAACAATTCATTTGAAATTAACAATTATTTATTTGGGTTTTAATAAGTTAGAAAAATTGATAGAATAAACTTAATTTTATGTATTAGTCTTTCATCAACAAGTATTTATTTAAGTTTTAACAATAGCCTATTCATGATTAACAATAATACACTCAAACTTTTAATAAGTAAAATGTATGATTAATAATACACCGGTATGCTATAAAATGAAAGTAATTAGAAGCTTGATTCACTACTTTTATATATATATATATATATTGTCATCTATGATTAAAAGGTTTGGTAGCCAGGCTACCAAGCTTTTTAGATGATTAATGCATCATGGATTAGACCCTCCCTTTGCCACTTAAACCAATTATTAATGAATAAAAATGTTATTGATGCCAGAGCTCCAGTGATTGATCGCTAGCAACAAGGGCTTTGGTGACCTTACTACAAACAAGGAGTTAAGTGGCTGGTGTTAGCAACAGTGGGGGTGGCTTTTTTTTTTTTTTACTTTAAAGGTAATTTGGTCTTTTGACATAATAAATTAATATCAATCAAGTACTAAGAGATTATAGCGTAATGTTAAAGTTAGTTGTTCTTTAACTGATATAAATTTAGTACAATGGCCCTTAGCTACTGTTTTTGCATATTTTTAAGTGTTTGCATAACTATTCATCCCTTTGTTATCTTCAAAAGTAAACAACATGAACTCTCCTAGTTGGTGGCTTTGGGTTAGGATCCTTTTGAGTTGAATTAGAGTAAGTAATTCAGGCGGCTCAAGTTTATTCAAGTCGAGCTTATTTAGATTGAGTTTAAAGTATCACACCTAATCTAAAAGGCCTATATAACTAAGCCCAACCCTAACACTTTCTGGTTTCGGATTTATTTTGGTCGACTAGAATATTCAAAACTTTTTAAAAATATTTTTTCTATTTTTTAACCAATTTTAATTTTTAAGTAATTCTATTAAGCATAAAATATTATTTTAAATTTAAAAAAATAACTTATCATTTTATACTTAAGTAACTATGTTCTTGTTTTATTATATTATGTGTAATTTATTCATTACTATTTCATTTACTTGTAAATTAATCTTTTAGTTATTTAAATATTGCTCTTATCATAATCATATATAAATATTTTATATATTTTAATTAAATTATATTATTTTAATTATAATCAAGTTGACCTCAATTCAATCATGATTAAACTACTAACTTAAAATTATTACCCTGATTGGCTCAAAATTTTTAATAACTTTTAGATAAACTTTACTTTTTATTTTTAAAAATATGAGAAAAATAATCATTATTATATTATATAAAACAAAATCATTTAAGTAAGTATAAAATGCTAGTTTTTTTATTTTTTTAATTTTTATATTGTTTAACCCCTATTTACAAGAGGTATTTATTCTAGTTTATTTTAACTTTTAATTAAGTATGGCGACAATGATAACTATATAATTATTTAAAAATATTATTCTATTAATTATATTTATTTAGTAGTAGAACTGAGAATTTGTACATGCATGAATTTTATTTTTAAAATTATTTTTAATTTAATTTTTACTTTAAAATTAATTATATTATTTTATAAAAAATAAAAATATATTTTTTATTTACTCAAATGATGTATAGGACTCAATTTTTTTAACAAAATAATTGGGTCTTAAGATATAAAAATCAATATTAAAATATATTTTAAATATTATTTTGAGATATTTTATGATTAAAAATAATAAAAATATGAAAATATAAATATTTTTAATTTTTTTAAAAAATAACTATAACAATACACTTAAATATATGGTATTTAGCATAAAATGACATAAAAATTAAAGAATTAATTAATATTTATTATATTTTATATATTTTTAAAAACTTAAAGAATTAATTAATATTTATTATATTTTTAACAATATTATTTTTTATTAAGGTATTCGGGCTGGCCTAGACATTAAAAATATTTTTTTTCTCAATCTTAAATTTTTCATGCGGGTTCAAACTAGTTCATTAAGTTTAACTTAAATTACCGACTCTAACTTGATTACAAAAAATTATAGCATTATGCTACCTCTGAAATCCATAAGGGCAAATAGCTAACGTCATTTCGTAATTGAGAGAGTTGACACATTCGTACGTTGTCTCTTATGGCGTCAATGGCAACCTTGCCTCCAACCTGCTCGGACATAATCCTTGATTAATTTCACACAAATAAATTCAGTGTCTCAGATTTAAAATAAATAGACAAAGAATAACAGCGCAAAGTTAACGTCTCCACATTGGGTTAGTAAATTGGGTTAGTGTAGGAGATCTTAACACACGTTTCTTTCATAACTCAACTAAGATACGGAGGCCAAGAAACCAAATTGTGAGTCTTCGTGACTTGGCGGGTCAATGGTATGAATTTGAAAATGAAATTGCTAAGCTTATCTCTGATTTCTATCAGGAATTATTCACAAGGAGTCAAATACAAGATCTAGATTTGGTACTATCTTATATTCAACCACGTATTTTTGAATCTCAAAACAATTGGCTAATATCCTCAATCACAAAGGAAGAGTTAAAGCAGGCAATCTTCCAACTTGGAGCCACCAATGCACCGGGGCCTGATGGCTTCAATGGACATTTCTACCAATCTTCTTGGGAAGTGGTTAATGACACCCGTTATCTCCTTGTTACTAATATTCTGTTTAAGGATGAAGATCCTGGCTGCATAAATGAAACAAACCTGACTCTCATTCCAAAAATTGAAAGCCCTAAAATGGTGGGGCAATTTAGACCTATAAGCCTATGCAACTTTGCTTTTAAAGCCCTCTCTAAAATCTTGGCCAATTGTCTTAGGGGAGTGTTGAATGACTGTGTCTCTTTGAATCAACGTGCATTTGTTCTTGGGAGACTCATTCATGATAATATCATTTTGGTTCATGAAGCTTCTCACTATCTAAAGCTTAAAAGAACCAGTCCTGATTGTTATTTCACTTTTAAGATAGACATGAACAAAGCCTGACAAGCTAGAATGAAAGTTTATATAAGCTGTCCTTTTAAAAATAGGTTTTTATGCCACTTGGGTCAAATGGATTATAAAGTGTGTAATGTGTCTTGCTTTTCATATTCAGGTTTTTGAAAAAATCGGGACTACTATTAAGCCTGAAAGAGGAGTGAGGCAAAGGGATCCCCTATCTCCCCACTTCTTCATTATTGTTAGTGAGGTTTTACCTCAAATGTTGAGTGCACATTCTAAAAATGGAGACATCACAGGCATCAAGATCACTGATGATCGCCAAATTGTGACCCATGAATGTTTGATGATGATACAATCTTGTTCCTTCATGTTGATAGAAAAAATTATAGCATCATAAAAGAGCTCCTTCAATCCCATTGTAATGCTCCAGGTTAGAGAATAAATTTTGACAAATCCTCTCTATTTTTCCCTACTAATTCCCCACAAGCTATTAAGGATGAAGTTTATTCTTTTTTACATTTGACTGGTATGGATAATCCAAGCTCCTATCTAGGGCTCCCAATATTGTGGAGAAGATCAAAAGTTGCTGCATTAGCTTATGTTCGGGATAGAGTGGGTAAGAAAGTTCATGGTTGGAAAAGCAAATTTCTCACATTTGCTAGATGTGGAATAATGATTAAGTCAGTAGTGAATTCTATCCCCATCTTCCCTATGACTTGTTTCAAATTTCCTAAAAGAACCTATACTGAGCTAAATAGTCATGTTGCTAATTTCTTTTGGGTCAATCTGATTCTAGGAACAATATTCATTAGAAAGCCTGGGGTAAACTTTGTGCCACAAAAGCTGATGGAGGACTCGGTTTTCAAGATTTCATGAATTTTAATGATGCTTTGCAGACCCAAATAGCCTAGAGTACTTCAGATCCCTTATGAACACTGGGTCAAAGTTCTTAAAGCTGTGCAGTTCCCTTCCTGTTCCTTCCTTCATGCTAGTCAAGGTCCCAAGGCATCTTGGGCTTAAAGCAGCATCTTAACAGGTAGGGATTTGCTTCTTAAAATATTTGCTTCAAGCTGGACACTGATTGAGATATAAGAGTGGTCTGATCCATGAATCCCAGAACTACCTATGTTCAAAGCCGTAAAATCTAGTGATCTTAATTTTGACAAGGATATAATAATGGCTAATATTATTTTTCATGGGTTATTGAGTTTACAGTCGATACAAGATTATGCCACTGCTGCAACCCTTGATTGTATTAGGAAAATTTATATCCCTACTAATACTTCCATTGATATTGCTGCATGGACAGGTGCCAAAAATGGGAAGTACTCTTCTAAGTTGGGTTATAGGCTCGAGTATGGGAGACAGCATCCCACTATGCCCAATAATCCTAGCTCTTCTTCAGGCTTCCCTAAGCATATATGGCAACATGTTTGGAAGCTTAATATCCATCCAAAAGTAAAACATTTCCTTTGAAGAGCATTATGTGGAGCTTTAGCAACCAAAGAGGCCTTATACTTGAGAAGGTGCGCAACAGATCTCCTTTGCCCCATTTGCGGCCTAATGCTTGAAATGATTGAACATTTATTATTGCTTTGTGAATTGTCAAAGAAAATGTGGTTTAGATCCCCTCTTTCTCTCCTTATGGACCCTAAGCAAATATCCTCTTTTGGCAACTGGTGCTATTCTTTTCTGGCCAACAATAGTATCCTTGATGACTATGATAAAGCATATATTGCTTGTATGTGTTGGAATATATGAAAAACAAAATCTACATTAATTTTTAATGTTGCTGCTATTAATCCCATACAAGCCATTTCCTCTACTAACGTTGTAGTGGAAGAATTTTGGCGAATCAATCATAAAACTCAGATGAACGCTTCTATTGAAGTGCAGACAAAAGCTGGTTGGGATCCCCTTATTAGTGGTGTCGCTAAGATAAACTGTGATGGTGCCTATTTGCAATCTTCCAAGAAAGCAGCAATGGGTGTTATTGTCAGAGATGGTTCTAGAAATTTCTTAAGAGGGTGGAGAGAGTCGATGGAGGCAGATTTTGTTTCAAGTTTGAACTTCTGGCCTACTTTAAAGCTGTTCAAGTGGCCTCCGATTTTTTTAATTCTCACGCAGTAATTGAAATGTATTGCTTAGATTTATTCAATACTGTTTCTCGAAAGGACTCTTCTTGCTCTTGGCTTTATCCAGGGATTCTTGAAGATTTGTTTGTTAAGCTTGATTCCTTGAACTCTATTTCTTTCTTGTTTGTCAAACGAGAAGGTAACTCTGCTACTGACTGGTTAGCAGCCTCCTCTTTAAAGGGTGTAGACTCAGGTGGTTGGATTCTCGACCCTCCACCCCTCTTTTAGCTATTTTACTTAAAGATTCAGGCAATTCCAAGCAATTCTTCCAACAACCAGTGATCCACAGGGATCATGAAGGCATCGGCTAATTGGTCTTTGTTTATTTCCTGTGTTGTGTTTTCTTCTCAAGTCTTTGCCTTTGGGCTTATGACTTCTCTTGTTTCTTTGATTTGCCTTTCTTGTTTCGGTTTGTAAACTCTGGCCTTTTGCCTTTGAATGGATGCATTTTCTGCTGGTGGTCAAAAAAAAAAAAAAACGTCTCCACATACTTTGCGGGAGAAATGGTGCAGAAATTCCAGAATCTCCGAGAATTCAGGTCTCAAGGAAGGGTCTTGGTGCCAGCAACGGTTAAGCAACTCTGCTATCCCTGGATGCGTATGCCTCGGAATTTCGGGCCTCAAACCCTGAAATTCACAATACAAGAAAATCTTAATCTTTATAACCTGCAACTTTAATACATATTCACCAACCGCACACGTCCTCTCGGAAGAGAAAAGGATATCGGATAAGTGTGTGTGTGTGTGTGTATTGCCAAAGAATAAAATACCTTCCGGACCACTCCAACTGCTGCTTGCAATGGTGACAAATGCTCGCAACGAAGCCGCTTCAGTCCAAAAACCATGCATAATAGGACCCGTAAGTCTGTCCGACCCTATCTAATTGGAAAGTGGAAACAGCACAATAACAAGCATCTCAAATACACCTCCTTCCTCTCCCGTGGCCCTTTTCGTTACTTTAAATCCATTTTTAATCACTTTGCCCAGTTCAACTCTCTTTTGTTGTTGCAACTATTAATTTAAAATGGGATTAAACCCAAAATGAGTTTCAAAATTGACATGTAATTTACATGTATATAAACATTGGCAGGAAACCTCCCTCTACTTGCTTCACTTTCAGGAAATAATCCAAGTGCGGTTGAATCTATGTGTGGGCAACCTCAAGGCTAGACTGAGGTCATCTTGAGCTCCATTACTAGGAAGTCATACCGCGAAATACTTTGCCAGACTACAACCCTGCTGAAATCTAAGGGTAATATCTGAGCTATATATATTTTTAGTTTTAAATTTTGAAAGCAACCCAGGATGGCCTTGTTTATAGAAGTCCATGTCTGTCACGAAGCTTGCTCGACATAACCGGAAAAAAAAGCTTTGAATGTGATCAAGTAACCATTCTGTCACTTCTCTTTTGAAGAAGGATGAGGGAAGGCAGTTTTACAACGTGAACAAGAAAACAAGAATGGGGGAAGATATACAAAGAGCATTTACCTTTCACGTGAGCAGCTCCTACAGAGTAATTCCAAAGCTGAACACATCGGCTTTGTGATTATATGGTTTATGTTCAATAAACTTCCAAATATCAACCGAATCACAAGTTATAATAATCAACCTATTGTGAGGTAAAAGCAACAGTATATCACTTCCTTCTTCCTTGCAACCACGTGGAACATGCTAGGGTCAAAGCGATGTAAGTTTTGGGTTCAACCAACCGAAAAGAATGAATTCTGAGAGGAAGGTCAAACCCTTGCAGTCCACTCTTGTCTTCTATTTAGAATGCTTCAACACATTTTACCAAAAAATCTTCAACATTGTCATTACCCTTATGCAATGCACAAAAGCAACCCAAAAAAAGTAAACAGTCATGACAATTATATAGCTTTCAAGATAAGCTTTATTCTGTTCTGTCAATGTTTATCCTAGGAACACACACAATTCCACCTTTCACATCCTTTACTTATGCTCTCAATTCTCAAGTCTCCCTACCCTTAGATGATTTAACAAAGAGGTACTCCCTCTGTTTCTAATTATAGGAGCCTTTTTGCAACTTTGAGTTGTTTCCTTTTATAAGACCATTTCCAATTGTCTACTGTATATATTACTTTTGATAAAATTGCCCCTCTTAAAACAGGTGTTCCCACGTTAATTAATTAGGAAAGAGAGAGAAGGGGTGAAAATACATTAAGGGGTATTTTTGGAAAGTTGATGCCAATTATTGACAAATTCATTGACATTTCTTAATATTTGCGAAGTAGTTAAAAGGCTCTTATAATTAGGAATGGAGGGAGTATAGCTTAATAGCTAATCCCCTAAACCCAAAATAATAGAACTGATAATAATAGTAGCAGCAGCATCTGATAACAATAAAGAAATTATCACGAAGCATTATACATTATACTCAGGTTTGAGACCCACCTCTGGAGCCATCCATCTATAGGTTCCAGTTTCTGCAGTCACAATGCCTGACTGATCTTCCACTCTTGCTACGCCAAAATCAGCAACCTTGCTAGAATGTTCAAGTAATCACTAATAGACATAAAAAACCTAAGCAAATCTCAAAGTAGGTGGCACAAAATATAACCTATTACCCTGTTCTCATCCATCAGAAGATTTGCAGTTTTGAGTTCCCTATGTATGATGTCATTCTGATACAAATAATTCATTCATTCACCAACATTGATTACTACTATGAGCAACGATGGGAGAGTCAGTACAGCCTTCTGTACGTGCAGAAACTCATACGGACTTCCACCAAATATGTATTCTGAGGAAAAAAACAAGTTTTATGTAATTATTGTATTGAATTTGACAATATTGTATTCATTATATTCGTCTTTCAATCAATCCAATTTAATTTAAACATAATATAAAAACCAACCTGTTCATAAGCTATAAATCATGCAATTTATTTTTTAGACTTCAGGTAATGCACATGGTCCACACTAATAACAACTAATATAAATGATTAATGAGCATCCTAAACCTTAAGCTATTACATGAATAGCATGATGGATCCTAAACTCCTGAAATATGTAAAACTCTCATCAACTTCAAAATTTCGAGCATCTGAAATCTCGCCGTTAAGTTAGAGAAAACGGTCATTACCTTTGTTTTAGCTATAGGGCCTAGTCTCATGCTGATGTGTTACTCATCTTGACCCTTAAAAATAACTCCAACTTACTGGTTGGGTTTTGATAGGTGCTCAAAATAACTAAAATAAGAATAACTCTATTAGGATGATATAGAACAAGAATCTCGTTCTATATTTCTCTTAATAGCCACGCTCAGGAGAATCTCCAAAGGATTTAAAAGACTATTTTATTGATAAACTGATATGATAGCTTCTAAGTTGCTAGTCATATTTATAATGCTAAATACAATCTAAAATAATGGATAAAATCTAGATAACTAGATAACTAAATAATATCTCCTATAATCTAAAATACTGAATAAAATCTAAATAGATAAACTACTAGATCTAAATAAAATCTAAAGAATAAAATCTGACTAAATAAAATACTAAATCTAAAGAAATATAAAATACTGAGCAAAATAAACAATAAAATCAATCTAAATTTATCTTTTGACGCTTTCTTCTTGAATAAGTCTTCATGGAAATATTATCTGGAATCTTATCATTACCCTCTCCTTGAAAACTCAACTTGTCCTCAAGTTGAAAGGAGGGAAATTGAGTGTGCAAGAGATCGTAGTCCTCCCAGCTGGCCTCTTCCACAAGTCGGTCATGCCATTCTACCAATAGTTCAAGCGATTGATGACGAGTCCATCGGTGATCTAAGATTCGGTGAGGCCTTACATGTAACTCAAAATCAGCAGAAAGCGGTAAGGGGGCGGGTGTGAGTGGTGGATCTATCCCTGTAGCCTAGTGCAAAAGAGAGACATGGAAGATAGGGTAAATACGAGCCTCTGCCGGAAGTTCCAATTCATAAGCCACTTTGCCAATCCTACGAAGAATCTTGTACGGGCCAAAGAAGCGAGGTGATAATTTTTCAAACTTTTGCTTGGTAAGCGATTGTTGGCGAAAAGGCTGTACTCGTAGCCACACAACATCGCCAATATTGTACTCAACTTCCCGCCGATGCTTGTCAGCATAAGCCTTCATTCGATCTTGAACCTTACGCAAATCGTCCCTCAGAAGCTTGAGCATTGCATCTCTGGTCTCTAGTTGTTCTTCTAGTTCAGCCACAGGTGTTTTACCCTTTATATAAGGAAGTAGGGGAGGAGGATCTCGCCCATAAACCAACTTGAAAGGAGAATGGTTGGTTGATGAATGATGACTTGTGTTGTATGAGTATTCAGCCCAGCAAAGAAATTTGTGCCAAGACTTGGGTTGCTCATGTGCAAAACACCGCAAATAGGCTTCCAAACCGCGATTGACTACCTCTGTTTGACCATCTGTTTGGGAATGGTAGGCAGTATTCATCTTTAACTTAGTCTGGCTTAATCTAAATAATTCTTGCCAGAAGGAACTCATGAAGATAGGGTCCCTATCAAAGATGATTGAGCGAGGTACCCCATGTAGTCGGATAATTTCCTCACAAAAGATTGTGGCCACCTTCTTAGCAGTGTAAGGGTGCGCGAGAGCAAGAAAATGGGCATACTTACTCAACCGATCCACTACTACTAAGATGACCTCAAAACTGCCAGACTTTGGAAGACCTGTGATAAAATCTAGTGAAACGTCCTCCCAAATCTGTGAGGGTATAGGTAAAGGTTGAAGAAGTCCAGCTGGTGCCAACGTTTGGTACTTATTTTGCTGACAAGTGGCACAATGTCGCACATAGGCCTTCACATCTGCTTTCATTGCAGGCCAATAGAAATTCTCTGAAAGGCATTTAAATGTTTTAAGAAAGCCGCCATGTCCCCCAATAGTAGTTGAATGGGCTTCTGCTAGTAATTTTGGTCGCAATTGTGATGAATAAGGAATGACCACTCGGTTGTCATAGAAAAGCTTTTGATTAACTAGGTGAAATCTAGGTCAGGATGACGGATCTTTCTACAAAGCCTGCATTATTTCATTAGTGAAGGGATCCGATGCCAACTCAAGGGAGAGATTATCCAACTCAGGAGCAAAAGGTACGGCCAATTGAAAAAAATCTGCATGCTGTGAACGTCTTGACAATGCGTCTGCCCCTTTATTTTCTACTCCTGCCTTGTAGATGATAGTAAAATTAAAGGGTAAGAGCTTGATGATCAACCTCTGTTGAGTGTTAGTAGTAATTCGTTGTTGTAATAGATATTGAAGGCTAGCATGATCTGTTTTGACAAAGAAGTGCCTCCCTAAGAGGTAATAGCGCTATTTTTGTACTGCAAGCACTAGAGCTAGGAGTTCACGATCGTAAGTGGACTTGAAGCGGTTAAAGAAAGAGAACCCTTTACTAAAGTAAGCAATGGGATGGTTGTTTTGCATAAGTATAGCTCCAATCCCTTCTGTAGATGCATCGCATTCAACTGTAAAGTCCTCCTCAAAATTGGGCAACTGTAAGACGGGTGCCCTCACCAGTGCACATTTAAGGTTGTCAAAGGCCTTTTGAGCTAGTTCAGACCATAAGAAGGCATCCTTCTTAGTCAATTCAGTAAGGGGTCACGCAATAATCCCAAAATTCCTCACAAAACGCCGGTAATATCCTGCAAGGCCTAAAAACCCATGTAACTCCTTTACATTGTTAGGAATAGGCCATTCACGTACTGCCTCCACCTTTTCAGTCTCAACTTCAACTCCCTGGGCAGAAATTTGGTGCCCTAAAAAGGGAACTTTTGGTTTCCCCATAAAGCATTTTTTCAAATTGACACAAAACGCATTTTCCTGTAGGGTTTGTAAGATGATACGCAAGTGAGCTCAGTGCTGTTGAAAAGAGGGACTATATATTAAAATATCATCAAAGAAGACCAGCACAAATTTTCTCAAATAAGGACGAAATAAGTCGTTCATAGCTGCTTGAAAAGTCGCTGGGGCATTGGTTAAGCCGAAAGGCATAACTGTGAATTCATAATGCCCTGAATGAGTACGAAATGCTGTTTTGTAAATATCCTCGGGTAGCATCCTGATTTGGTGGTATCCAGAACGTAAATCCAATTTGGAAAAATAGATTGCCCCGTGTAATTCATCTAGTAACTCATCAATGTTGGGAATTGGATACTTGTCTGGGATTGTAATGCCGTTTAATTTTCGATAGTCAACACAGAATCGCCACGAACCATCTTTCTTTGCGACCAATAAAACTGGACTGGCAAATGGACTTGAGCTAGGCTGAATAAACCCCTTTTTAAGTAACTCCTCAACTTGCTTTTCAATCTCGGCCTTTTGATAATATGGATACCTGCAGGGTCGTAAATTGGGAGGGTTGGCCCCTGGCAATAGGGGAATGGCATGTGAGTGATTTCTAAAAGGTGGTAAGTTTGAAGGTTCTTCAAACACAGATGAAAATTCTGCAAATAAAGATTCTGGATTGAAACATTGAAAAGGTGTAGAGTTAGCAGAAGCTTCTATTTGTTGCATTGAATTAAATTGAGCACCACTAGTAGCATTAGGGACTCCCTGCAATTTATACCGCTTGCCATTCAACCAAAAAATCATAAAGAGTTCATTCCAGTTGGCTTGCACCGTATTCAGAGATGCTAGCCACTTAATGCCCAGCACCAGATCGACTCCTCCCAGGAAAAAGGGAAAAAATCTTCCTTAATAGTTAGTTCTGTGAGCTTAACTCTCACATCTCTGCATACTCGATTGCACCGTACAATACTGTTATCCCCAATTTGGGCTCCAAATGCAGAAATATAATGAGTAGGAAGACGCAGTTCTTGTACCAATGAGTTTGACATAAAATTATGAGTAGACCCACTGTCCACTAATAATAGCACTTCTCTTGTAAGCAACGTGCCTTTAAGTTTCATAGCTAACCCTGTGTTGCTACCCAGTATAGCATTTAATGAAATTTCTGCCCCTTCTGTCCTTATTTCCTCGGGTTCACCATCTTCAAGAGGAAGGGCAACCTCATCGCCTTCCTCTGTAATCTCCATGAGGGAGAAGGATCCCCGGCAGCGGTGCCCAGGCCGAAAAAGGTCACCGCATCGGAAGCACAACCCCTTGTCTCTCCTGCGTTAGTGTTCGAAATCCATAGAGGAGTTTTTGATCGACGCTACACTGGCTGATTTGGGTCCCGATGGCATTGATGTCCTTTATGAAGACGTCGAGAAGGTAACTTCAGCGTATTTCAGGTCACATGCCCCAGGTGTGCTCGAGTTAGGATGGCGAGTTTGGGTCTGGATCAAGCTGGGTCTCGTCCGGGTAAGCTGCGTTTTGCTTTCGATCTCCAGAGCCAGACTTACTGCTCTGTAAACTGATCGTGGTTTATGGATTCTGACATCTGATCGTAATTCTTCTTTTAACCCATTCAGAAAAACGCCGAGCAAGCAGTGCTCCGGCCAATTCTTGACTCTCGACGATCGTTTGGCGAACTCTGTGCGATATTCCTAAACTGAACCTTCTTGCCTAATGCTGCAAAGAAATTCATCCGGATTTTGGTATTCAAGTGGTCCGAAATTCTCTTGGAATGCTGTCACGAGCTCGTCCCAGTAGTTGAGTGTTCGTTCATGATTGATCCATGCGAACAGTTCTAGTACGTCACCCTCCAGTGCCAGTGAGGCTACGTCCACCTTCTCTTCTTCAGGTGTGTTGTAATACTTAAAGTACTTCTTAGCCTTTAAGATCCATCCCCGTGGATCACCCCCACTAAACTTTGAGAATTCAATTTTGGTGCGATGAAATCTGGTGCGCCTGCGATTTTCTTGCTCGTCTTCGCTCTCTTCATTTTCATAATAGTGCCTGCGGCGTGCTTCTCCAAGTTTCTTGTTTTTATTGATTGTTGAGGCTTCGAGTGCTTCTACCTTTTCTTTTAATAAATCAAGAGTTTCGAGTTGCTGCGCGATTTTGGCCAAATGATCTGACATAAGTGAATTTGGATTTTCTGGGTCATTGTTGGACGAATTGTCAGAAGGGTTGGTTTCTTGGCTAGTACGTGTGGTAACCATGGCTCTGATGCCAAATTGATAGGTGCTCAAAATAACTAAAATAAGAATAATTCTATTAGGATGATATAGAACAAGAATCTCGTTCTATATTTCTCTTAATAGCCATACTCAAGAGAATCTCCAAAGGGTTTAAAAGACTATTTTATTGATAAACTGATATGATAGCTTCTAAGTTGCTAGTCATATTTATAATGCTAAATACAATCTAAAATAATGGATAAAATCTAGATAACTAGATAACTAAATAAAATACTAAATCTAAAGAAATATAAAATACTGAGCAAAATAAACAATGAAATCAATCTGAATTTATTTTTTGATGCTTTCTTCTCGAATAAGTCTTCATGGGAATATTATCTGAAATCTTATCAGGTTTCAAATGTTCAGAATTTAGAAGTTGAAGGGAGTTTTTGCACATTTCAGGAATTTAGGATCCAGGATACTATTCTCATAATAGTTTAAAATTTAGGATGCTCATTAATCCAACTATAAAATATAATATCAAATGAATCCATAAACAGAAACTTTTACTTGTGACATTGAACAGGTCTGGAGGTTTTGTGCTGGCCCCCACAAATTTGACAACATTCTTGTGACACACTTCACCGCAAGATTCAATTTATAAAAGAGAACCATCAGCATTCCCATCAATAGGCTACTGATTATATATTTCACTCTGCAGAGAGGCAGCCACAAGGAAAAGGTGGATTGTGATGAATTTAATAAAAAATGGAGAAAATAATACTTTGAATCCCTGTACTTCATTCAGGTTTTGGTATAGGTCTCTATACTTTTTTTCGGATGTTCCAGGTCCCTACACTCTCTTCTGTCTGCAACGTTGACAAGGCACAAACAATGTTAAAAATATTGATATGTCAATTAACACTATTAATTTTGTGCTTACGCGTCAGGTTGATGCTAATATGAAATTTCTAATGAGCAATTTTTTTTAAAAAAAAAAGCCTACATGGAATTTGTGTGTTTTTGCTTATCATTTAACAAGTCCAAGGTCAACTGTTTTATTTCATTTGATGTAGACTTTTTTAAAATTTTTGCTTATTAAAAAATTCCAAGTCAACATCAATTTGACAAATGAGCATAAAATTAATGATGTTAATTAACATGTCAGCATTATTAACACCATTTATGCCACATCAACATCCCTCTGTAGATGGAGGATAGTGTAAGGACTTTGAACACCGAAAATAAAGTGCAAGGACCTATACCAAAACTCAAGTAAAGTGTAGAGATTAAAAGTAGTGTTTTTCCTCTCTCTGTGTGTGATGAAAGAGTAATGATGGAACAAACCTCAGAATATAGACCTCTTGAGCAAAGTCCTTTTGTATACTTTCATTCAGATTCTCAGCCTTGGGAACTTTGAAAGCCACTTCTTGGTTACAGAAAGCACCTTTATACCTGTGTCAACTAACAGGTCATTCAACATGCATTGACTCTTAAACAGACCTTCCAAAAAAAAAGAAGAACATTACTCACAAATTAGAGAAAGGTCCGGATGCAATTTTTCTTTCATATTTCAAACAGCTTGCATCAATTTCCCAGGCAGCACTTCCACTTAAAGGTAGATTCATTGATCCTGATTTGTCCTTGCTCTGCAGCTTGACTGCCGATTTTCTTGAAGGAAGGCTGAATCTGGATTTCCACCCAAAACATCCAACTAAGTAAGGATGCCCTGCTAAAAGCCAAAGGTGGGGGGCAGACATGCGAGCAACAATCAATTTCCAGCTAAGCACAAAAGGCTAAAATTAATCTGGAATATTTGAGAACTTAGTGCGCGCGCGCGCCCACTAATTCAATCCAATTTATGTGAAAATGAAAAAAAAAATACCTCCATACAATCAAACACGGTAAAAAAAATCGATCATATCTTTGTTGAAGGGGACGCTGTAACAAGTGGGAAGTGAAGGGCCTACCTCAAGTTTCTGAATTATTTTTTTTGTCAGCACATGTTTAAGCTTCTCAGTCTCCTACAAGGTTTAGGATGTAAATTATTCAAGTAACTTTTAATGCATAGAAAGGGATGAAAATAGAGTTCAATAGAAAATTGAAAAACTGGAAGGATGGTAGATGCATTTGACTAAAATAAATGCCTTAGATTCTAGAAAAGGACGCTCTTAAAGTTTCAGTTTAGTAAGACGAGCTAATTTTCTTCCCAATCAGTTCTCAAAAGATTGAACAAGCCAGAAAAAAGAGGGAAAGTACGTCAACAGGTCAACCAACAACAACAAAAACATCCAATGAATAACCATCCAATGTTGAAAAAGCATGCGCTTATTGGATATTTAACCCAGTTTCAGACAGTAGGGAAGTCAACTGCATGGCTAATTGCTAGCATAGTGAGAACGAATGAAAGCCAAAGGGGTGAATTTATAACTCACATCTTATTCTGCTATACCTTATTTATTCTCTTGTTGATAAGTTTGATATCACTGCCCTGTAATTATATTGCTCAAATTACTTTAATTGTGTCAGACGCTTATAATGAATGCACGCATATGCTTATACAGAAAGATGCATAGCACGAAACATTAGAAGATAATAAAAGATGTGAACTTCACATCTCAATCAAATATTATCTTAAATGACATAAATCCTTGATCACGCTCCAAAAATTCAGAAGCTAGATGCATCATAACTGTTAGGACTATGCATGAATATAAAATACGGGTTTTACATGAAAGCTAAGAAATATTTGCACAGCAATCAAGGTCAGCTACCTGACTTAGAAGGTTTGGCATGTCGTTTGTTGATATCGTGATCTCATGCATTGGTCTGCCATTTCATTTAATAGTTTCAAGAAACCGATAAAGAGCAATAAGTATTGTAAGCAATCACAATAATAATATGATGAGTATGACACCTCTTACAGCGATCAGAAATAGAGATTAGAAAGGAGGGGAAATATGATGGTCATAGAACAGATACGTAGAAGAATTAGAAAGTATACAATCATCATCGAAGTTTTACTGGGAATAATGGGTGTAGAATTTCAAATTGTCACCGTCAGCTCGAATTCGACACTGTCTTGCTTCAAGAGCAAGTTCAAAGTTAGCTGAGGAACCAAAGGCTGGAGCAGGATGGATGATGAAACCCATGAAAAAGAAGCAGTAAGTACGAATAATGCAGAAAGTACAGAGAGGAAATGTAGAATGCCAAATAAATGTATTCAGCGATTCAAATATTAAAACTCATGCCTCATGTTGCCTGGAATATGAGAATCTTGAGGACAGACATTTCTTTGCGTGTTTGAATGAAGAGAATCACTGGAATTCACAGTTCACACCAGAAGCTGAACGACCCTGCATAAAAGATATATCGCCAAGATCTAGCAAATCAATTGGCAAATACAGGTACCAGCAAGGTTGCCATATCCTGGTCAAAGAAGAAAATCGTCATGATACTACTATTCTACTAAAATCAGAAAATGGCAATCTCCATAAACGGGAACGTGCTATTCGTACTAATTATAAATAACCAAAATAGCGTTGCAGAAGGGAAACTTATTCCTCGGCTTAAAAAAGTGTCACAGTTCACAAGGAGATACACGGGAAGCGTCACGAGCAGGAAAATCTAAGCTCAGAAAATAGAAACGCTTAAATCTACATACAGTATCGAAAACACGGTATAGACTACTCTATGTCTCTATTAAAGATGCAGAGACAAGATGATTAGTTGCTAGTCCAGTGGAGCGTAGATGAAAAGAAAACGATACAAGCATCGAGGGTCAAACTTCATCTGCTACGATTTGTCACATAAATGTAAATTATCTGAACAAGACGGACTTCAACAGCAGGTCTGGTAGCAGGATCATGTGCAATACGCAACAGCCTTTTATGCATAATAACATCTTGAGCTCTCTCCACATTCAAATCCACGGCATACCTATCGCGTGTATAGTTACAAATTACAAAAGGCTCAATGCACAAACAATATAATTCAAAAGCCCTTCAAGTCGTGATCGCTTTAAGAAAGCAATGGTAGAGAAAAGAACCAGTAATAGCGATTCCCAAGTGCCCAAGGAAGATATAAAGAGCTTGAAAACCCAAAAAAGAAGAAAAAGAATCAGAATTATGAGTTTTACATCAAGCGATCAATACTAGTTTCGGGTCTCTGAAACACAGTGAGCGACAGGAAAGCGCAGCATTGAAAAGAGTGAGAGAAGTACCTAGGTGGAAGTCGATAGAAATGCGTCCAGAGGTCATCTGCAAAGGCAGGAACCGCAGCCTCCCGGACATTCAATTCCTTAAGTCCAGTAAGAACCTCGTTTTAAACTTCAACCTTCTGCCTCTGCTTCCGACTATTATTCCACCGTTTAATATCCGCATGAATCATGCAGGACTTCATTTGAATTAGAAAATATAACAGGCTCGCGATGCAAAGGACAATTCGTCAATTGCTTGCACTGGAGTCCTTGTTCTCGTCTTACAAAGCGAAGGTCCATGGCGGGACACAATACGCATCGCAGGGACAGGCGTCGCCTTGGACTTTGAACAATGCCATTTTACTTTGCTTGTGTCACCTCTTTTGTTCTAAACAACGCAATAAGGCTTCTGTGTGCATATAAATATAATCGCTTCGATAGCATCACCCACCAAACCGTAACTCTGAAACCAGGCTGTGGGCGTACTTTGTTTGAGTCATTTCTCACAATAGTATATGCATCCTTGATATTTCAGAGTCAGATACAAATAGATCTTGACCCGATAAAATAATTTTAAAAAACCACTAAACCGCCTTATCTAATTTTATGGTGCATTTGGCCGGGCAATTATTCCTTATGAAGGAGTCAGAAGATAACTTAATGCTCCTCCCAGCAATTAATAATTCATTGGCAAATGTGCTGTCACTTTATTGCCTTGGGTGACCACTAATAAACTTTTAACTTAATTATTTTAATCGCCCCACCAATCAGAAGATGTTCTTTGCTTAAAATAAATTATAAACTCAAATTATAAATTCATAATAATTTATTTTTATTAATAGATCATCATTAAAAATATATAATTAAACAATTAAAATATAAATATTATGACTTAAATATATTTTAAATATAAATTATTAAAATTAAATCTATCTACATTGATAGATTATCATACAAAACATAAAATTTTACAATAGGGTAACTTATTTTTCATACCTTTTTCTTTTTTTATTAATATTAATTTTTGCTCTTTAAGTTCTTTTCTTTTTGAATCAGCTCCTATCACTTCTATGAATTGAGTTTTACATAGTATATATTTAATTTGCTCAACTCGATAAAAAATCAACAAGCTTAATAAGTTTAATTAAGTTTATATTTAGTATGAGTTTATAAATTAGTTGACATGATTTTATAAGTTAAAAATAAACAACTATAAACTCATATATAAACTTGTGAGTTTAATCAAGTTTATATTTAATATAAATTTATGAGTTTGGTAAGATAATTTTATGAGTTAAAAATATAAAATTGTTAAATTTGGAGAATCAATTTAAAAGTTTAATAGCTATGCTTATGCTCTCTTATCCACCAAAAGTTGGATCAATGCAAGTGTGGTCGTTGACGAGATGTGCAGGATGATGGAAGAAAGCAGTTCGACTACCTTCTGGGGGAGGCGATACGTAGTTGTGAGGTGACAAACTATGGTTTTTTTATTGATAAATTATTTTAACATAAATTATTAAAGGTAAAAAAATTATTAAATTTCATTAACTTCCTTTTTAAAATTTAATAAATTTTTACGTTTATCTTTAATAAATATTTTTAAATTTAATTAATATTTTTTTTTAAAATATTTAGTAAGAATAAAAATATAAAAAAGAATATTAAAAATTGATAGATGTTTTATAAATAAAATTAAATTTTGTTTATTATATAGATAGGATAAGAGAAGTAAGTGTATATGGTTGAAGCCGATGTTAGACTACGAGTACATGTGTTAAATGCTACATGTAAAAAACGTCGCTGGCGTGGATTAAAAAAGAAAACTAGTGCTCTGGTGTTGTCCTTTGGTCAATTGTTAGTGAAATTGTTACAATGAAATTTA